CTTCTGCAGCGCCTGCAGCCCCTGCACCTGCGAGGCAGGGGAGATGTTTTTGCTGCTTTTTTGGAATCGTGCGATCCCGCGACAGATCCGCTGCAGCACCAGTTTGCTGCTGCTGCTGCTGCTGCTGCTGCTGCTGGTCGCAGCCTCGAGATGCAGCAGCAGCAGCAGCAGCAGGTCCTGCAACAGGTACATGTCTTGGAAGCCCGCATGGATGCCGCCATAAGAAGCGTCACTGAATATGAATGGTGAATATCTGCTGCTGCTGCAGCTGCTGCTGTTGCTGTTTCTGCTGCTGTCAGGTCTTTGCTGTTGCTGTTATTCGTGGTGCAGTGCTGTGTTGCTGTTGCTGCTGCTGAAGTTCGGTTGGCTGCTGGCTGCTGCTGCACCCCCGCTTGGGAAGAAGTTCGCTCGTGTCGCTGCTGTAGCCCATCCTTTTGCTGCTGCTGCAGTGACGCCGTTGCTGCTGCTGCTGCTGCTGCTGCTGCAGGCTGTGCGACGATTTGTCGCTGTCTGTGCACCCCATCGCCAGCCTTTCCGAAGCAGCACAGCTGCTGCACCGGGCAGCAACAAAGCCACAGCTGTATGCACAGCTGATTGCTGCTCCCCGGGTGTCGCAGCAGCAGCTGCAGCAGCAGCTGCAGCAGCAGCCCGTGGACCTCGGGCTCACAGGTCAGAGCTTAGGGTTTAGGGTTTAGGGTTTAGGGTTTAGAACTTAGTTTTCCCACGGCGGCGTTGGAGTTGCTGGGCCTGTTGCTGCTGCACCTGGTGCTGCAGCCGGCCAAGCTGCTGCTGCAGCTGCACGGGCTACTAAGGCCCCTGCTGCTGCTGCTGCTGCTGCTGCTGCTGCAGACATCTACCGCCGCCTGTGTCTCAGCCTGAACTGCCGCGGGCCTCTGCGGCTGCTGTTCTCTCGAGAGACAATTGCAATTTACCAGCTGGTCTACAGAGAGCTGCTGCAGCTGCACTTGGCTAGCCGCCAGCTAGCGCTAGTTTGGCGAGACCTCCTCAAGACCAAGGTCTGCTGCTGCTGCTGCTGCTGTTCTTGCTGCTCGAGCTGCTGCTGCCGCTGTTCTTGCTGCTTGAGCTGCTGCTGCTGCTGTTCTTGCTGCTCGAGCTGCTGCTGCTGTTCTTGCTGTTCGAGATCCTGCTTCTGTTGTTGGTGCTTGAGTTGCTTCTGCTGTTGCTGCTTGAACTGCGGTTTCTGTTGTTGCTGCTCGAGCTGCTGCTGCTGCAGCGCGCACTGCTGCTGCAGCAGCAAGGCTTGCTGCTGCGTTGCTGCTTCCTTCAGGACCTCTTTGGCCTCAGACATTCTGGCTCTCACTTTCGGGCAGCGCTGAAGACAAGAGGGCAAATGGCCTACTTCGTGTCTTGTTTGCTTTCCTACGTTTCCAACGATGTAAACCCTAAACCCTAAACCCTAAACCCTAGTGCTTCGGTCTCGGGCCAGCGACTGCCGGCGAGGCCCAGCGTGCGAGGTGTGTGAGTGGAAATACACTTCAAACCAAAGGCCGCCGTTTCCTGCTGCTGCTGCTGCTGCTGCTGCTGCCGCTGCTGCTGCAGGTGGTGGACGTGGAGTTCGGGCGGTTTCTTTCCTTTTGCTGCCGCGGGCGCCCGAGCGCGGAGCTGCTGCAGCAGCAGCACTTGGAGTGCATGCGCTGCATCAGCAGCGGCTGCTTCTTGGGAAGCCCCACAACTTTGCAAAGTCTGAACAAAACTTTGGCAGTCATTTTGACCTTTGCTGTCCATACACTCAAGTTCTCCACGCTGGCCACCAGGCCGCAGCTGCTGGGGGCTACTGCAGCAGCGCCTGCTGCAGCAGCCGCACGCGACAGCGAAGCGCATGCTGCAGCGCAGCAGCAGCAGCAGCGGCTGCTGCAGCAAAAACGCAGAGACAACAGGCTGCAGTGCTTCCGCTGCGCAGTGGAAGCCACGGGCTTTGGCTCGATGGTCCGCACAGCCCACGCAGCTTTCGTCAGCAGCCAAAAAGAGTTCGTAGGTAAGTGCAGCACCAGCAGCAGCAGCTGCTGCTGCTGCAGCAGGAGCAGTAGTACCTGCAGCAGTGACAGCGGCGGCTGGTATTTTCGAGCCTGCAGCAGCTGCCACACGTGGCGCAGCAGTGTCAGGAGAGCAGCGCGAAGCAGAGGCGGCTTGAGCAGCAGCAGCGGCAGCAGCAGCAGCAGCAGGGATTTGCTGTGGAGTGTGTGCGTGTGGTGCTGCAGCTCGGCTGTTCAGGCTGGTGCAGGGGTCCACTGGTTCTGCTGCTGCTCATTTGCTGCAGCGCCTCGAAATGGCCTTAGCAGCAGGAGACAAACAAGGGACTTCTGGAGTCTCTTCGCCTCTGGGCACAACGCCGCGTTACGAGCTGCACAAGGCTCTTTCTGCTGCTGCTGCTGCGCCTGCTGCGGCTCCTGCTGCTGCTGCGCCTGCTGCTGAAGAGGCCGCTGCAGCAGCAAATGCCGCTAGACTCAGAGCCGCGGCGACACTCGGATGCGTCAGCCCCCGCAGCGCGACGGGCTCCGCAGCAACAGCAGCAGCAGCAACAGCAGCAGCAGCAACAGCAGCAGCAGCAACAGCAGCAAAAGCAGCAACAGCAACAGCAGCGACAGATTCAGCAGCAACAGCAACGCCCCCGTACTCCCTACCGACGCCATCTAGAGAGAGGCCGGTGCTTCTCTCCTCGCTGCACCAGCAGCAGCAGCAACAGCAGCTGCAACAACTGCAGCAGCACCACGAGAAACAGCAGCAGCAGCAGCAGCAGCAGCATTCAAGCACTACATCTGCAATGCAGCAGCTGCTCCACATGAGGCAGCAACAACTGCAGGAGCAGCAGCAGCGACATCACGAGCAGCAGCGCCAGCCCCAAAGTCAGCAGCAACAGCAGCAGCAGCAGCAGCAACAGCCGCAGCAGCCCCGCTTCCCGAGGGCTCCAAGAACAGCAGGTCCATCGACACTGCAGCGAACTGCGAGCGCAGCAGCCACAGCTGCAGCTGCTTCATCTCGTGGATTTGATTCGGGTCTAAAGGGCAGCAGCAGCAGCAGCAGCAGCAGCAGCAAGACAGGGTGGCCCACTCCTCCGAGGCCTGCTGCTGGAGCAGTAGAGACGGCTGCAGCTGCTTGCGCCCGCAGCAGCAGCGTGACAGCAGCCACAGCAGCTGGCAGGGGCTACAGCAGCAGCAGCAGATACAGTCTCGGGCAGCAGCAACAGCAGCAGCAGCTGTTGCAGCGTGGAGCTGGCACTGGACCCAGCAGTAACGGCAGCAGAAGGCCCCCCCTGTCCCACAGCAGCAGCAACAGCAGCTTTGTCAGCGGCTCCGACACAGACGACGAGAGCCACAACACGGCAGCAGCAGCAGCAGCAGCAGCAGCAAGAACAGCGCCTGCTGCTCAGGTGGAAACAGACGCAGCAACAGAAGAAGCTTGGAGCGATGCTCCTACTGAGCAAAGTGACCTGGAGCTAGATGCTGCAGCGCAGCAGCAGCGGCAGCAAAACTTGCTGCAGCAGCGGCGGCAGCAGCTGCCCCCCATGCAGCCAACGCCGCTAGCCCAGGCCCAGGCGATGCTCCGACGGCTGCAGCACCAATGACAGCTAGCTAGCTAGCTAGCTAGCTAGCTGGCAGCTAGCTAGCTGGCTACCAAGCCATATGGCTAGTTAGCTAGATAAATAGCTAGCTAGCTAGCTAGCTAGCTAGCTAGCTGGCCGGCAGCTAGCTAGCTGGCTACCTAGCTATGTGGCTAGTTAGCTAGATAAATAGCTAGCTAGCTAGCTAGCTAGCTAGCTGGCTGGCAGCTAGCTAGCTAGTTACCTAAGCCGACACCTGAAGGCAGGTCGGCGGCCCTCTCTTGTTGAACATGCGGCGAAGCTGCCGCCAACTAAACTCGCCCTCAGCTAGCTAGCTAGCTAGCTAGCTGGCTAGCTAGCCTGCAAGCTAGTTGGCTAGCTAACTAGCTAGCTAGCTATTTTGCTTCCTCGACGGCTACATAGCCAGCAGCAGTCTTTGGCGATTCACTTCAGCGCAGCAGCAAAGCTAGCCAACTAGCTGTTTCCTGTTAGCTCGCGCTACTGAGTAGTAGCTGTGGCTAGCTAGCTAGCCAAGGCCAGCTGCGCCAGCGCTACGGAACAGCAGCTGCAGCAGAAATAACAGCAGCTGCTGCTGCTGCAACAGCAGCAGCTAGTCCGCAGCGCTCTTTCGCTGGGGCCCATGGGTAAATTTGTTTGCTGGCCCCGGCGAGACGGCCGGCCAGCTAGCTAGCTAGCTAGCTAGCTGGCAGCTTCAACCCTTGCTAGCTAGCTAGCTAGCTGACAGCTTCAACCCTTGGCTAGCTAGCTCGCTAACTAGCTAGCTTGCGAGCTAGTCAGCTAGACCCTTCGCTAGCTAGCTATCCAGCTTCCTTGTTGGTTAGTTAGGTCGACCCTTGGCTAGCTAGCTAGCTAGCTAGCTAGCCATTTCGCTGCAGTGCCCGAGCCAAGGAAAGGGTCTATTGCGCCAGCTGGCCAGTTCGGCAGGGCCCCTGCTAGCGAGCCAGCTAGCTAGCGAGCCAGCTAGCTAGCTAGCCAGCTAGCTAGCTAGCCAGCTAGCTAGCCAGCTAGCTGGCTAGCTAGCTAGCTAGCTAGCTGCAAGGCAGCGCGAACTCAGTTGTCAAACGCCTCAGTGTACGTCTCGTCCCAGGTGTACTTCAAAAGCGGCGTTTCCTGCAGGTCAGAGCCAGCGACAAATCAGCAGCAGCAGCAGCAGCAGACAAACAGCAGCAGCAACAGCAGCAGCAGATAAACATATATAAGGGGAAACGAAAAGCAACAGAGAGAACTAGTTACACCAGAATATCGCAGCCACAGGCAGCAGCACTCCGAAGCGCAGCAGCGCGGCGAGACAGCAGCAGCCGCAGCCACTCCAAAGCAGCAGCAGCATGAGCAGCAAAACCAGCAACACCAGCACCCTCAGCAGCAGCAGCAGCAGCAGAGGCACCAACAGCAGCAGCAGCACCCGCAGCAGTAGCAGCGCCACCACCACCACCAGCACAGCACCACCACCACCACCACAACAGCAGCAGCAGCACCACAACCACCGCCAGCAGCCCAGCAACAGCAGCACCACCACCACAACCGCAGCAGCAGCAGCACCACCACCACCACAGCAGCAGCAGCAGCAGCAGCAGCGGACGAGGCACTGGTGGAGGGGCGTGGGTTTGTCCATGATGCAGGGAATGTAAAGGCCCATCACGGGAATGCAAGTCCCGTCGCGGAGCCTCGTGTGCATTTTGCCCAGCTGCGCGTCCATGAGGTGCAGCACGCGGTGCGCGAGGTCGTCGGTTTCTTTGAAACGCACCGGCTGCAGCAGCAGCAGCAGCAGCAGCAGCAGCAGCAGCAGCAGCGGAGGCGGCAGCGGCAGTGGGAGAGGGGGCACGGGCGGGCGGGGAGCGCGTGCGCGCGTGTCTGCTGCGCGCGACGTGGCAGCTAGCAGCTGCTAAACGTGCACAGCACCGTGAGACTGCTGCTGCTGCTGCTGCTGCAGCGCTTGCTACTCCAGCAGCAGCAGCAACGCACCAGCAAGGGGACACAGGGAAAAACAGCCACCACACCGAAAGCTGCAAAGCTACTGCAGCAGCCGCTATAGAACTAGCAGCAGCAGCAGCAGCACCTGCAGCAGCAGCCTTGACAACGGCAGCCCTGAAGCCACGGCAATTGTCACGGCAGCAACAACAGCCAGAGCAGCAGCAGCACCGCCAGCAACAGCCGACGTCCACCAGCAGCAGCAGTAACTGCCGGAGTAGCAGCAGCGGCAGCAGCAGCAGCTGCAGCAGCAGCAGCAGCAAGCATGCTCACAACCACGCGTCCAAGGCAGAAGTTGGTTTCCTCGATGAGCCACTCGTCGTTCTTCTTCAGCAGCTGATCAGAAGTCACTTTCTGGCCCTGGTAGCTCCCGAAGGGCCTCACAGAGGCCCCAAGGGCCCCCAGGGTCTTTGCAGCTTTCAGGGGGGCCCCTGCGCGGGCAAACCCAGACAATAACAACGACATGGCGCTGCTGCTGCTGCTGCTCCTGCTGCTGCTCCTGCTGTTGCCGTTGCTGCTCCGCAGCACTGGAAAGGAATAGGAAGGGTTGCAGAGGCCACTTAAGTCCCAATAAATACGGAATTGCTGTTTTGTCTTCGGATTTCCTTACTAGACTTTATTTGTTCAGAAGGCAGCAGTGTCTGCATGCCCGCGGATCGGGGGCCCTGAAGCGTACCGCTGCAGCCCCTGTTTGCCTCCAACTTGAAATATAATATTATTATTATTTGTCCTTTTTTTTAATTAATTTTAAATGTAGGGATCTGCGTAACTGCGTCGCTGTAGCCACCGTGGTACAGCAGCTAGCAGTCCTGGCCTGATTCACCTTACCCGAAGTCGCCGTCCTGTGCTGATCGCTCTGTCCGCATTTCTGATGAAATTGACCTAATTAATTATCATTTAATATAATTTAAGTGAATTACTTTTAGCATGTCTTTGAAATTGATCCACAACACGCACAGTAGCATGACACGCGCTTCATTCAACTTGTTGTATTGCCACTGTTCAGATTCCGCCACACCGGCAGTTCGCTGTGCTGCGAGAAAGACACTCTGCAGAGCCATATCTTTTCTATTAGAGTTAAGCTAAGCTGAGGGAGGCTCGGGAGGTGGGCCATTCCCGCAGCAGCAGATCGCGTCATTCTCCAAAGTCCGAGAGAAAGCAAAACATTTCAGCAGATTTGGCCGGCCTCTGCTAACTTCAGAGCTGCACGCCGTTGCTACTTCCCTTACTGAGCCATACAAGCCCCCACAGAAGGCCACAGCTGGTCTGCGTGTCCGCCTATACACGTGACAGCCAATAACAAAGAAAGGCATTATTAATTAGCATGCGAAGCCCTCCCAGCCATTCCTGCTCCCCGGAAGCCTGCTTTAAGTCGCCTCTATAGACACCTTGCAGCGCTGCTTCCTTATGCAGTCTACCGTACACTTTAATCTTTTCTGTGGGCGAAGCTGAAGTGACCCTCAGGGGGCCCCTGTGGGCCCCTGGGGTTTGTACCCAGGGCTTCTTTTGAAGGAAAGCTCCTCACTGAAGCCCCTAGAGACTCCACAGAACAGTCTACGTCTTTTCGTTGCGGGAAGTGGGCTTTGTTTAGGGTTTGACGGGGCCTTTTGCCTTTTCTATTAGCGGCTTTCGCCTCTGTGATTCTATATGCACTCCACTATATGAACTCCAGCCTGATCCGTGAGATCTCAGAGGGAGCTAAAACGGGTTTTTTCTATATAAAGTCTACGACTGAATATAAGCAGCAGCGGCGCCATTAATGCAATTCTTGAGGAAAGCACCTTTGCCAGTGAAGCTGTATCGAGGAGCAGGAAGTGTTAGGGGAAATATTTCGAGATGCATGCAGCATTGTTTGTAAATCGCTGCAGTTTTGCTCCTTTTAGGTAGATATTGTTGGCCCCTTGTGCACAGGGCTGCGTAGTCAGCCATCCAGAAGGGTGAGTTGAGCAGTTCAACTTTGTTGTTTCCTGTTCTTGAGCTGCGCCTCCGGAGAGGCCCTCGAGATCCGTTTTATCCTCCATTTCCTCCGTTTCTTCCGAATTCTGGCTAGACGTTTGACGAGAAATTGCAAGGCTGGGCTCGTTGGAAGCCCCAGGCGCAGTTAGGGGCTCCAGCTCACCTGCTGCTGGTGCTGCTGGCTCATCTGGCTGCGGAAGCAACTCGGCCTTTATGTAGAGTTGAGGCACTCTCAGCTCTTCCAGGCGGTGCCGCATGAAGGCCACCATATCGTTGTACGCGTCGATGCTTCTGCGCAGCTCTTTTCTTAAGTCTCGCTCGCAGCAGCTGTGGTCTGTAACGGCTTCCTGAATCATCTGGCAAACGGCTTTGGAGGCTTCTGGAGGGAAGTGAGAGCTCGCCTGCGACTCCTGTATCTGCCGGTAGCTCGACTCCAGTTTCGCTAGAGTTTCCGTCGCCTGCAGCCTCAGCAAAGCCCCATAAGCTGCTGAGGCCCCGCTGTTTTCTTCTTGCAGCTGCCGGATGCTTTGCTGCATTTGCCCGATGGTGCGGCCGATGACTTTCTTTTGGTGCTCCAGTTCCCGAATTTGCAAACGAACGTTCTTTATGTTTTCTTCCATCTGAAAAACACGAGGCAAGCTGGCCTAATTTACTGAATCTGAAGCCCAGTTGCACCTATGTCGTACAGAGAGTGATTCTGAGGAACACTTCTGCGCCAGCAAGCTGTTTGCAGCCCGTGGCAGGTGCTTCACCTCTTTATTTCTCCTTTTAAGGTTGCGTAAAACCAGCCTGTCCTTTTCTGCAAAGCGCAACTGCGCCTTCAGCCGGGCCCTAAAATGCGAAAGGAACTCAAAATGTCACAAGTGCCAGAAGCTTCCATGAAACGCAACTAGTTCAAGTCGCCTTCGTCAAACCCATCGATAAATCTTCATCGATAAATCTTCATCGTGAAACAAATTCCAGGGGGATACGAAATGTTTTCTCCAGCTAAGAAATGGTGCCATGCTCAAATGGCCAGAACAGCTAGAAAGCCAACAAGATTTATCAAATGGGAATGCAGAAAATTGTAGGGGAGGCAGCGGAAGTTCAAGTAGCCTGCTCAACGTGTTGATTTTTGTTCGACAGATTTGTTCTGCACTCGTTTCAGGTGAGGTATTCTCACTTTAAGGCCTTCTGTTCTTGAAGAGGCTCCCGAATTTTTGCATTCTGAGCAGCCATGTAGTCTATTTCTTTCTTCAGCCTTTTGTTATCTGCAGCTGTTCGTTCGTTTTCAGCACGTAGTTTTTTAACGAGCTGCAGATTATCTCTAGTAATCTCTTCGTAATAACCTGGTCACAGCAGTTTTGAAAAGCAATTGCGCTTTTGTTTGAGCCATTTTAAGCAAGCCGTAGAAAGTAGGTTCTCTGCAGTTTGTGGCTCAACGGCCCACCCTTCAGCTTGCTGATAGCTTCCTGGTTAAATGCCTTGAGTTTATTCATGTGGCAGTTCTTCGATTCCTCCACCTCGTGGATAGAAACTCTCTCCTGGAGCTCCAAGGATTGCTCGAGCTCCTGAATACAGCAAGTGCCGCATTGCAAGGAGCAGTAAAGATGCAAGGTAAGCCTCGAAATATCCACCAAGTCGAGATCCTTGTTGCCAGCACGCAGGGAATCAAAAACCACCTGCTTCTCAGTTCTTTCAGAACATTCTCAAGACGCTGTTGAAACCCTTGTGTTCTAGCTTCTACATGGAACGATAAACGGTGCACTCGAATACTCACCCCGACATACCTTTAACTCTATTTCACACTGCAGCTTCAAATCCTCCGTGCTCTTTTCGAATGTTTCCCTTATTTTGCTCAAGTGCTGTGAAGGCCAGAAATAATACAAGTCGACTTCTTGGTCATTGCTGCTGCAGAAGGTCACTTCAGATCCACGGCTTTTGCAACTAAACTGCGCAGCAGCGCTTGCTGCATGCATATAAGGAAAAGTCCATTTTGCTCACTGGCTCCGTTCAGGGAATTCTGCTGGTCCCGACATACTTGATCTAGCGTTCTTTTGAGGGCTTCGACTTCCTGCTTCGTTTCCTCAGTCTCTCTAATAGACATGGCTTTGAACTCTTTGGTTCTCAATTGCGCTGAGGCCAAAGACTCCTGAAAATACTTGTCAGCTGCGGCAATTAGCTGCTGCGTGGAATTGAACTGCGCCTGTTCTTCTAAGGTTGCTTGAACTTCTAGGACATGTGCTTGTGTGTCATAAGCGGCAAGTTCTTCCATGTGTGCAGCTTCTTCCATCGCAGCCTCCCCAGTTTCCTTCTCAAGTGTCAGTTGTAGTTTCTGACTACATCTTTGCGTCGCCTCCCGAATCCTCACAAGCATTGCCTACGCGGACCTCCTCACGTTTCAAACAAGCCTTTTGGACAAGACATAGCGACTATTTTGTAGCATGCGGTGCACCGAACAGCCAGCAGATCCTAAGCAATGAAATAATGCCACTAACTCACTACTTCGAGCTGCAGCTTTATCCTGCCGCGCCTCGTCTGCTCAAGCAGCGCCTGCAGGCTCTCTACTTCATTTTCCGCATTTTCTCGCAGTTCCGCCAGCGTGCGGAGCCGCTCCTGTTCAGGCGAGTCTTCATCTAGTGGCAAATCAAGCAAACCAAAACGCTCGTGTCGACTTTAATTTTAACTGCACATTAGAATAGAAGTAAAAGGAAGTGACCTCCGAAGTCTAGCTTTTACGCGACACGGCTATGAACTAGAAAGGATATGGGGCTCAGCAGGAAAGATTCTGCTGCTCTTCTCGCATAGAGAACAGCAATATCCCTAGATCCGTCTATGTGGTGAACCAGTCCGACCTGGGGATGATTTACTCGCCGCTTCTTGAGTTTTTGCTGACATTTTCACGCAAAAATTGTGTTCAATCTGCAGCGTTCTGCGGGCCCTCCAGCTGTTGCTGGGCTTAAAATGCTATATAGCGGTAGTCATGAGGCATATGTGTATGTCACGAGCCTTCCGTACTGCCAAGCACGCTATAAAGAAGTCGTATAGACCAATGGCCTTAAGGCAATCGGCTCTCGGCTGTATGTAGGCATCGGCTAACGTGGAGTCCTCCAACACGAATTCAATACACAAACTAGCGTAAAATATAGGAACAAGTAATGGAATTATGCTAATTTATCAAGCAAAACACTTGAGGCATTCGCTGGGTTGTTGTTAGAGCAAGCCCCAAAAGCTCCACTGTGCTCGTTGGCTGCATGCATCGCCCTTGCAGCTTCTAACGAAACAATGTTAGTTTTTCCAATTAGAAATTTTGGCATACATTTGCGGATATTACGGCGTTTTTTAGCTTGAAGAAAACTAAGTAGCAAAGGTGTACGTGTCAAGGAGGCGGTCAGATGTACACCACACGTGCGAGCGTAATCTCTGAAATTTCTGTGTTTGAGTCTGTGTAGGCTGTGTAGGCTCTATGATGCGTCAGGTCACTGTTAGTGTATCTGTGGCTTTAATGCTAGTCTACTGTGTGTTCGCTCAGTATTTCTACACTAGCTTGTCGACCAGCATGAGGAACTTGCCGGCTACCACTAACGCTTTCCCCTAATGGCGAGCCAGAGCTTCTGAGAACCGGTGCACTCCTTTTATTAAATTATTTTGAACCTTTCTGTGGCGACGTACCAGTGCAGCTCGTTTGAGACTCCCAAAAACTCCGGGGTCCCCGGAGCTGTACACCCTCGTGCGGTGATGCACCAGGCTTAGGCCCTTACCCCACCAAGAAGCCCTCCAACGAGTCATGCCTGTTTGCAATATAGTTTTACTGGGATACATAAAACGAAACATCTCAGCACTCCAATTGTTGAAAGCTTGGGTGTGAGTAACTCTGCTCAGCTGGGTCTTAGTTTGACGAAGTAGAACCTGCGTTGAACACCCCTGCTCCTCGTTGCAGCAGTAATGCAAAAAAGCTGTTATTTGATCAGTGTTGCTGTATTTGTCGCAATGTTGAGTCCTGTACTGGCTGCTAAGCCTTGTGAGTAGTCCAGCAGTTGTTGGTTCTCTTTGTCCGATCCACCTGTGTCAGTTTTGTCAAGTCCCTGCCTGACGAGTAGCTTCTGGATTTGCTGCCATTCGGGGGAGAACAGCAATGCGCAGTTCAGGGAAATCTTGCAAACGAAAGAATAGCATTAAACAGCTGAGTCCACTTACGCACTGCTTAGTGAAGGACAGACCAAGGAAGGCGAAGAGCATTTCCACGGCGTTCTGTCTTCTGGATTCTGAGATCTATATTGTGAATTTGTGGCAACTTTGTCTTGCTACACAGGTAAATATGAATGCGCAGCAAGTGACCGGCTTAGGCGAGTGAACTAGACAAAGTATGAGTAAAATTACTATGAAGTCGGTGTTTGAAGAGCCACTGGGCTTTTACTGCAAACTCCGGAATGCTGCCACCGGCAATAAGTGCCCCATACTGCCTCTTTGGTTTCTCTCAGCTTAATTCAGGAGGCTTCTTGCTCATACATGAGAACATCCTTTTGAGAGACCACTGGTCCTCAAGCTTTATTGGCAGCTGGCCACAACAGCGGGTCCGGTAGTGATCTCCAAGATTTTAGCGGGCATCGACGTACCTCAAGAGCCTAAAAGTCTATTAAGTACTTTTCTGAGACGACATCGAGTGTTAGGGCAGTTTTAGCTCAAGATAAAGTGTATGGAGCTGCACAAATGGCTGATGCTAACTTGAAAGAGTTAGTCAGTAGAAGCTTTGTTGAATTGGGAAGCGCTGCTGTGTCCATTCCAGGACATGAAACATAAACATTGACTCTTTCAAATTCCGTTCAATTGATTCCCAGATGTTTCTTGATCGAATTGCTTCTGTTTTGCACACAATTCCCTCCCCAAAGCGCAAATTGCTCATCAGGCTAAATAGCAAAGCTGACACTTCAAAAAAAGTTTTAAATCCTACGCTGCAGCGCTTTAAGCTCCTGCAGGAGCCAGCCTCAGTGTGCCTGCGTTGCTACTGGACAATAGGTGGAAGCAGCAAGAGTCGAAGATGCAAATATTTCTGAACGCCCGGACGTTGCTGCACACCGCGACTGTGGGACCTCCACGTGAGGCGGCCATCAAGAGAGTTGGACCCTACAAAAGGTCCTTTTAATCGGCATTTCAACTCTTTATCCACCTTAGGGTTCCTTACTTTCAGCTGAATGCTCATCTCCCTCCCCATAGCAGCGGCTCTTGCATTCAATTAGCAACCAGTCAGCTAAAGAGCAAAGCCACCTTCATTGTAGGAGGAAATAAAACGTCCACTACAGGCAACTTCGTGGACTCCACTAGAACAGATATGCACGGCATTTTTTGATGTTTCATTACACTGTCACTGTTCCGTGTAGTTGGAGTACTCTGCGCTGCAGCTGGACAGAAAGCTGCCATAGTGGGCTTCTTTGAGTTTTACTTCAGTCCAGAGTTTGTCAGGAAGCTACAAATTCAATGAAACTCCTTCTGCTAGGTGAACTTACTCCAAGAGACCCTTAGGACGGCCCCACAGCAGTGCCATTTCCGTCTTGGTGCTCAGAGCATCTGTTTCGTCTGTATGCTACTCGTTAAAATAAAACCCATCGGATTGTTGTGCATTCAATGAAAAACGGAGGAGGAGTTGTGGTATCAGAACGGAGAGTCACAGGGCTTGAGGCCTTAAGGCCCGAGCAAGCGCCGAAACTCGGGATAAAAGCCCAATCACGGGTCGACTGAAAGTTTTAGCGGGTAAGAAACATTATTTTGATGTTTTCGTGGAAAAAATGTAACACGAGAGCCGCAATTGCCTCGCTTGTCCCATTATAAGCATTGGCGCCAGTCTCGGTTTTGCTATCAGGCTTTACAGCTGAACTCTTGCGTTCCGTTGCTCCTTCCAGGGACAATTCCCAGCATACTGCATGTCAGAATCTATTTCAAGTTGTCCCGCGGCCAGTGATGGGGTCGGCTCTGCAGAGAGAGGCCCCCTCTGGCCGGGGGTTCCCCTGCGGGTGATAGAGTTTTTCAGCGGCATAGGGGGCCTCCGGGTGGGTCTGGTTGAGGCTGGTGAGGCTCTGAGACAGCGCGGGGTTGGCAGTTTTGCTGCGGAGTTTGTGGCGGCCTACGACGTCAGCACAACAGCAAACGGAGTGTATGCACACAACTTCAGCAGCAAGCCGATTTGTGCTTCCATCGAACACCTCTCGCTGCAGCAAGTGGATGGAAAGGCGCAGCTCTGGCTGCTCTCTCCCCCCTGCCAGCCCTACACGCGGGGAGGCAAGAAACTGGACATGCAGGACGGGCGGGCTACGGGTTTTCTGCATTTGCTGCAGCTCCTAGACAGTTGCGCCTCTCCCCCTCAGTTCATATTCTTGGAAAATGTCCGGGGTTTTGAAGGCTCAGACACTTGGCACTGCATGCAGCGAGTGCTACTGAGAAAGCACTACAGCGTGCAGCACTTTCTACTCTCCCCCACGCAAATCGGCATTCCCAACACGAGAGTTCGCTACTACTGCCTCGCAACGAGGCACACAGACCTCCCGAAACAGCAGCAACAGCAGCAGCAGCAGCAGCAGCAGCAGCCCCAGACAGGTCTGAAGCAGCAGCAACAGCCACAGCAGGCGGCGCCAGAAGCTCCCGAAGTCAGCGCGCTGGGGGCTGCTGGGCTGCAGCTAATTCCCCCAGATCTGAATACGGAGTGGAATCCAAGGAGCCCCGTTACCAGCGCAGCCCCCAGGCTGCGCCGTGTTGGCGAATTTTTAGAAAAAAATATTTCTGCAGCAGAGTGGGAGGCGCTGCGGGTTCCTGCGGATCGACTGACTCGCTTTCTTGAATCGGAAGCAGAAGCTGCACAGGCAGAAAACGGTGAGGGGGGAAGCGGGGCTGCAGAGGACTCCGCGAATTCAGAATTCAACAAAAAAGAAGAAAGCACTGAGACGGAAATGGAGTTAAATCAAAGAAAAAAGAGGAACTCAAACACTCAGCAAAAGTTCAACAACGGCTTCCGCTTGGAGCTCGTCAGCCCAAGCTCCACGGCGTCCGGCACCTTTACTAAAGGCTACGGGCGAAACCTCCACTCCGGAGGGCCTCTGCTGCTTATTTGTGAAGAAGACCAGCCTTCAGGAGGCCGAGAAGCAGCAGCAGAAGCGGCAGCAGCAACACCATCCGGAGCCGCAGCAGAGAGCCGCAGCACAGTGGAATCTCCAGCAGTTGTCACAGGAGAAGCTGCAGCAACAGGAGCTGCTGCAGCAGCAGCAGCAGTGCTTCGTCCGGACACCTTGGAGCGTCGCCGATTCCGCCGTTTGCGCGCTGGCGATTCAGTTCGTTTCTTCTCAAGTCGTGAGCTGCTGCGACTTCACGGATTTCCAGAAACATTTTCTTTCCCCCCTTCGCTGCCCTTTAGAAAGAAGGCAGCGCTTGTAGGGAACTCCGTGAACGTGAAAGTTGTGGCGCTGCTGCTGCAGCACTTGCTGCATCAGCACTTACTGCAATAGCACTTGCTGCAGCAGGCTTGCTGCAGCAGCACGTAGGCCGCATGACTTCCCTCAGAAGCTAGCCTCTCCGTTGCTTGCTTGAGCGGCGCGGGGCGCAGCGCCAGTGGCAGCAGAAGGGAACAAGCCAGTAGAAGTTTATTTGGAGCTTCCGCTCAACTCTAGTAAAAAAGAGTAAAAAGGTTCAGCGTTGAAGAGTTAAGGGTGAGAACCCCTACATTGTGAGATCTTGGTGCGTGCCTGTTTCGGGCGTGCACAGTTCGCGTGGGCTTGGGCGAGTGAGACTTGCGTAAGATGTATTGGCTGATTCAGATAGCTGGCCTCAAATGGCAACACACAAGTCCGGAATAGGCCGCCGCGAGCCCCGAGGCTGCAAAGGAATTTGCAGCCTGCGGGCCCCGGAGGGGCCCCTCGGGGGCCCCTCCAGGGCCCCTCGAGGGGCCCTGGAGGGGCCCCGGGGAGGGCCGGAGCAGCGGCCCGCCTACTGCCTAAAGCACCTCTAACCAGCTCAAACAAACCTGACAACTCTCCACTGAATTTGAAGACGGAGGCTCGGAAGCGCATGCAGGATGCATGCAGGATGCATGCAGGATGCATGCAGCACGCATGCAGCAGGGATGCAGCGAGTGGCCAGTGCGCAGTTACAGATCTACCTGTGTCCCCAGCGTCCGCAGCAGCACTTGCGTGGGGCGGAGTGCAGCAGGCGCAGCAAGTGCAGCAGGTGCAGCCAGTGCAGCACGTGCAGCAAGTGCAGCAGGAGCAGCAAGTGCAGCAGGAGCAGCAAGTGCAGCAGGTGCAGCAAGTGCAGCAAGTCCCTTGCAGGCCTTGGGCGCCGCCCGGCGGCGAAAAGCCAAGGGCCGGGTCACAGGAACTTGTAGGGAGTCTGGTAGGTCCCCTCAAATGCTTTTCCGTACATCTTTTTTTCGACAAGTTCAAAGTTCAGCCCGTCGAAGTAGGGGTGCTTCATGCACTGCTCTATGTCGTAGCGGTTGTCGGTGTCCGCGTCCGTCATGTGGCGAATCAAATCTTCGGCTAAGTCCCTGTGGGGCACTGGGAGGCTGCCCATCCAGTCGAGCATTTCGCGGAAAGTGACCCCGAGGGCGTAGACGTCGGTCTTGAAGTCGAAGACTTGGTACTCGCCGTCGAAGGTGAGTTCGGGGGCGATGTAGTGTTCGGTGAAGATGATCTCCACCTCTTCGCCGTACATGATTGCATGCATGCCGTTGCGCCAGAAGCCCTCGAAGTCGGCCAGCAGCGCGTGCCCGTCCTGGCTCACGAAGTAGTTGCACCCCTTTATGTCCCGGTGCACCCACCCCTTGCGGTGCATGCCCCACAGCCCGTAGATCATTTCTGCAAAGGCCAGCCGCAGCTTCACCTTCTCCGGCATGCGCCGCGTGTACATGGACACGTCTGCGCGCGCCCGCGGGGTCACCAGGTACAAAGTGCTTGCGTCGACGTCCCGGAAGGCGCCGAGCGCCGGCAGCGACAGCGGCAGCCCCTTCGCCAGCCTCTCGTGTGCAAACAGCTCGAAGGCCACTTCCTTCGCGCTGCAGCCCGCAGTCGACTTCCCCTTTATCACTATGCCCTCTTCGCGCTGCTCCTCCGTCAGCCCCAGAAACGCGGCCAGCCGCGCCCGCGGCTTCGGCACTGACATCAGCACCACCGGCTTCTTGTCCAGCCGCTTCAGCAAAGGCCGCAACTCCGGAAACTCCATTTCGTCCAGCACCGGCAAAGTCCGCACGTAGTCTTCCCACGACGCCGGCACTTGGCCTGCCACAGTGGCGCATTGCAAATTCCAATCCGTTCAAATTCTCTTCCGCGTTCTCAACCCAAACAGCGCGAACACCCGGGTGTACGTACACCTCGGCGCATGCAACCGCCCTTCAACTATGTGCGCACGCCAAAGATACGACGCAACGGCTCTTCACGAACCCATCGTGAAACGCAAAACAAAACCACAACTCAGTTTTTGCAAGAAGACTGGGAAAACGCAAACACTGGCGGCTGCAGCCAAACACCATGCAAGACCGGGCCACGAGCTGCACCTGATCGCTGAACGCTGCGCGAGCGGCATAGAACAAACACTGAATTAGGGTTTAGGAGCGCCAACTGCTTCGAAGTAGAACAAAGGTGGCTTAAAATGCTGCTGAGACAAACCTAAGATTCGCATCTTTGCCTTGCGCAAGGCCTGGCGCGGGCTGTGGTAGAGTTCGCTGGTCTTGCGCCAGAGAGCCACGGCGGACAGCAGCGACCCCAGCCCTCTGCAGCAGCACACGCACACAGTTCGAGCTGCAGCAAGCTGGCCCGCGCACTTGAATTGCTGCGGATGCGCAGCGCAGCAGCAGCAAACCAAGGCCTGCTGCAGCGCAGCAGCAGCAAACTGCAGGTGCTGCTGAGACCCACACGAGGAAGGCGCCCCAGCCCGTGCTGATGGGAGATACGGGCAGGGCCGACTTGGGCACTCTCGAGTTTCTAGCAGCTCGGGGGCCCCCCCTGTGGCCCTTGAGCCGCCGCAGGTTGGGGCCCGCGGCCGCGGGGCCCCCCGCGGGGCCCCCCGCGGGGCCCCCCGAGCCGCTGGGCTCTCCGTCTTTGGAGGCTTCTGCTTCTGCAGCAGTGCGGGGGGCCGGGTGGTGCTGAGGGCCTGAGCTGTGGAGAGGCGCAGCAGGCTCTGCGGCGTGGCTGGGGGGCTGCGGCGGCGGCGCGGCCGCTGCTTCCTGCGGCGCAGCAGCAGCAGCGGCAGCAGCAGCAGCAGCGCCTGCTGCAGCGGGCGCAGCGCCAGGGCCCGCAGAGCCCGCGGCCAAGAGGCTGCAGCACAGTCCCGTGCAGAGAGCCGCCGCAAGAGTGGCGCGCAGGCTCATCGCGGTGCAGAGACGGAGAGAGAAAGCAGCAGGCGAAATGCAGGGAAAAGTGCGTCAGAAGATGCAGCGCGAAGCTGAACTTCGGGGCATCGAGGCGCAGCGAAAAAACCCAAATCGCCCAAAGAGATGCGTTGGCACAGAAGGGGAGGGGGAAGAGCTGCTAAGGGATTGGGCCCCCTCCCCATAACGCATCCCTCCCTTTTGCCCTGCCCTTTGCGGAAATAATAAAAGTCCGAGCCGAAGTGGAGTGCTGCGGATCCCACCGCCTGTCCAGCTGTATGTACAGCTCAACCGCAAGGGGGGCGAGCGGTCCGTCACTGAGGGAGGTTTAAGCAGCAATGAGGGCATGGGGTGAGCCTTCAGGGCTACTCCGAAAGGCAAAAAGGTAATATAAAGCGATTTAGAAATAGCATCCAATGGGGCTCCGCCAAATTCGTCGCCCTCGGCCCACCTTTCAGAAACGAGTCCCCTTCCCTGCCCCCGCAGCAATGAGGGCTGGCAATGGTTCGCGTTTATACACAAATAACCTGCGCCATCTTCGGCTTTTCCGGCCGAATTGGATAGGTTCAATTTCACCTTGAGCACAAGGAATTACTTTCAAAGCAGCTAATACCCTAAAATTATGTTCCTATCGTACCCTGCTACTCTCTTTTCCGAGTCTACTGATCCTCTGCGCAAGCCCCAAAGGCCTTTCTATCCCCCTCTCCCCGCAGCAATCCTACTCAATTTTCCCCGCCTTTCTCTAAGAAGGCTCGAAAGTTATTTTTATATGAAGGCCAGATTGGCCGGGCACATTAGCGGAAAGAGAAAAAGGTTGAACAGCTTTCACAGCCGCCGCGGTCGCTCCGTTCAAAGAGATCTGAACTAGGCTCGACACTAGAACGGAACGTGCAGCTGCGCGCGAGCCAAAAATCTGCATCTTCTGTTGTGTACTTCAAATAAAATTGTAATCTCGAATCAGAGCCGAAGGCTAATTCCAGACGGGCTGCTCTGCCGCTCCGTTCCGCCGTTCGGGTGTACGCGTGTTGGCTGGACGTTCACTCGTTGCCGCTTCCGCTCCAGTTCGCTGACTCGCTTTCGGGGTTATTCTTTCCACATAGTGGCCCCTTATAATTAAGTATTTATTACAGAAGTATGTGGTGAGAAGGCGCCCTTTGGAACTGCTAGGATCGCCACGCGCACTAGCCATTGTTTGATTCGCCAATGGCGAGATATTGTGTCCCACTCGTGGCGGACTCCTTCAGCCGGATGATCTCCCCAAAAGCTTAAGTTGAAAAGAATTTAAAAAGAAGTGGGGCCGCAGAGGGGCAGAGTATGGGGGGCCCTTGGTGCGAGCTTGTCTTCAGTAGCTATGAGAGGCATATTTAGAAACAGTAGCTGTGAAAAGCATACTTAGAAACTCCATTAGATAGGGCAGTCTGTTGCAGAAGCCTCTGCAGTCAGACGGCAGTCGCATATCAAGCGCCCAGTCTTGGGTCATGGAGCCGCAAGGCTTTGCAAATGAAAGACATCATTTCGCCAAATGTTAGTTTTCCCTTCACTCCTTCTTGTAGCCCAAGTTTCCCTTCGTTTTACCCTTTGAAGATAAGTGGGTGTAGATATGGTATCTGAGCAACTTTAATAAGTGAGCATAAACAAACAAACGTAAAATATACAGGATCTCTCAGGAGTGAGCTTTATATTTTAACACCGGCGTGTGTCTCACACCGCAATATGTGTAGCACTGTATTCTCCATTCCCTGCATGCATTTACATGGCTACTTTTGAACTATTTCTTCTCGCCTAGCCCAATACAGCCTCCGGACGGCTATGAAGCTGTTTCTTTACAGAAGCTCCCGCTTCATAAAGACACATGCCTCCGCTTCTCTCTCCGTAAAGGGTCGAATGCATCTAAAGGTCAAATACATACCTGCCAGTGTACAGCTTCAGAGATTTATTTAATAAAACTGGTTCTTTAGTGAGAGTCACCAAGATACTCTTACAAGCAGACAGTTGTGGCGGGTAGAAGGACTAGACTACGCATATAATCAACTGTGGCATTTTGCGGGTGGCATAGGGTCTTGCTGACACTGCTACACCAAAAAGAAATCCAGAAAAAAGCTTGGTCGGCGGCCACTTCATTACTTTCTTTGTTTGCCCCAACAATGGGTCCCGTGCTTGCTACTTTATGAACCTCGTTACCTCCGGTCACTGGCTGAGCCTTTCTTGAAGGCACTAAATTTGCAAGTGGCCCTGGGCACCAGCTTGGAGAGTGTTGTACTTGCCTGTTGTCAAGGCGCCAGCCACAAAACGTTGGGGCCATGTTATTATTGTTACTGGCCGGAGTCGCAACTTTGGGGGAAAACAAGAAATGCAATAATCGCCAGTCCGCGGATGCTCCTGCGCTCCTCTCGCTTTAGTACCAGCGCTACAATGCACTCCCATGGCTCCTCAGCAGCACCAAGAGAATGCCTAAGGTATCCACCTCCACGCCGGAAGATAGTGGAAACTTCATCCGGTGTGTTTCTAGCGGCCTATGCAATGCTTTCATGTCGAGTTAGTGAGGACCCTGCTACATCTCAGAGCACTGTCTTCTCTGCAGTCCGTAGTATTATTTTGTTGTTGTGCCTCTCAGCAATTTTTAGACGTTCATGAGTTGGCAGAACAATTTTTCTTTCGACGTCCATGTTGGCAAACACACATAGAGGAATAGCGCTACAATCAGCAATGCTCCCAGCTCTCTGAATACTGGCATACGTTCGTTGGCGTTGAGCAAATATCATGAGCAGGCTACTGCACAAAGCAACGTGCATCTGCTATGCATGATGGGGCCTTCGGTCACTGACCGAAGCACCCCTCATGCTTAGCAGACCGCTACTAGACGTTTCGCCCTCGCTCAGAATCATAGGGAAAAGGGTGTCAACCCCATCAGGCTCTTCTGAGCATGCCGAACTCCAAGGACGAGGAGGGCTTAAAAGAGACTGTCCATAGGTTAATGCACCCACGAGATGCGTGCACCCCGGTCCCATAGCAGGACGCACTACACCTCACAATGAACCCCTGAACTGTCCTGACGGACTACGTGCTTCCTTAGCTACAGCTGTAAGCCACAAGGCTTGTTTGGAATTGACAACAAAGACTCCCTAAACCTGTGCAGCCAAGGCGTAGAGACAGTCCTGACAGTTGCTGCCTGATCACCTCAGGCACGGTTTTCAGGTACGCACCAAGCGCAACCGACTTAACAAAAATGAGAGGAGGAGCCATCGGGCATCCTTTACACAGTTCCTGTCTCTGTCTCCATCCTCATCCTCGTTGTGATCTACCCTTCACTACCGGAAATCGCCTGTTGCCTACACACCCCACCCTCCCATCAGTAGAGCGAACAGCGCCTCTCTTGCTCTGCATTTCAATTTGTGGTCAGTCTCTGCAATACAGTTTCGATTGGCTCCACGATTTATTCTTCGGACCCGCGGCAAGGCCACAACAATACACATTGGTGGCGATCCCAGGATTTAATTCCTGCGGACGACCGACCAGGAAGTTCGTGAACTTTGCTGGTGCCATGGAATGCAGACACAGTATTCATCCGCACAAGGATAGTGCCATGTACACTCATTTCAAAGGCGTCATAGCCTCTGTAAATGTGTTCTTCTTCAACGAAACAGCACAGCCCGCGTTCCCCTTCTGCCTTGCTCAAAGTCCGGGCCCACACATGGTAGTTCCGTGCCCTCTGCCCAGGAAGAGCAGTTCGCTCACAGCATTAGTTTCAATGGAAGTAATGCCGCATTTGGTTAGTCTTTCGCAGCGGACACACCTTGAATCCAAATCAGCGCCTTTAAAAATTGTGATACCGGCGCTGCACAAAACCCGACATCAATATCCAGTTCCCGCTATTCAAAGTGCAAAATTCAAGCTCTTATAATCCTCCAAACTCTGCGTCAGAGAAGTTAAATGCTGCCAGGAGAAGCAAACAACCACTCCCACTCCCGTCTATTGCTCTTCATTCCATATCCCTTCATTATTACGCAGCTAGTATGCGCCTCTCCCCTCGGGTCTTTACAGAGCAGATTCAGAATGCGCTACGTCCTTAAAACTCCTCTAGCGCGTGAACACTCGTAACGGAAAGCCTGGATGCCTCTGTCACCAATGCTACGTAGACGGGGGTCTCTCTAACCGCAGGTTCGTTTAATACTCTGTCGGTATGCAACACTGCAAGCGCAGTCGCAATGACTTTGTCAAGCGAAATCTTTGCATCTGGCTGCCGAGACATACAATGCCGAAGCTTAGACGCTAACGTCAAAATATTGCATGCGGTGCAGCACCGCGATTCCTGAACTCACCCGCGACCAATGCGGCGGAACCATAAAATCAACGGAAAATGTGGAATGTGCATTTCAGATGCTTAGTTCCTCAGGTGAGGGGAAGTCGTGTTGATACTGATACGTTCTAGCATCCCTAATGTCGCCGCTTCTCATTCCTTCTTTCCGTGCGTGTGGTCTTTCCACTGTTACTTTTTCCTGTCTTGCTCGATTTTGCTGGTTTGGATTTTCTGGCTGCTGGGGCCTCCTCTTTTTTCCTCAGTGTCTTCTTTCTTCGCCGGTCTCTGTTGCCTGTGCCAGACGCCTTACTCTTTACATTCTGCTGGCGGGTACTGCCTGAACTTGAGTTAAGCCATAGCTGTTCAAGAGCATTAAGCCTTGGGCGAAAGTGGGAAAGAGAACCTGCGGTGAAACACTCCTTCCCTTCCCAAGTGTCATCAGCCGCGCCATAGCCACTCCACCGAATCCTGTAGTAGAATTTTCCCCCAACTCTCTTGCAAGCCAGTACGTCGTCAACAGCATACAGCTCCCCGTTCTTGTCCGTCATGTTTGACTGAATATCTAAAAACAGCAGAAAAAACTAGCCAAGAGCAGGGCACGTCGAACGCAGCAGTACAGTGGCTCGCGGTTCACATTCATGAAGTGCGCGTGTGCCCTTCCACTGAAGTTTATTTTTAATTCCTCAAAAACAAAACCAGCTGTTCCGTCTCACGGTCAAAAATGTTGTGTAGAAGAAAGAAACCACTGGTACGCCGCCCCCAAAAGTGTGCAGCTCCGGAGAACTAGGAAAACATGAAGTGGGATGCCATCCAGGCCTTTACAGTTGCAGCAAACGGCCTACAAAGAGAATTAGGTATAGTTCAAACACAAGTAAAAACCAGTGACTCGGCATATTTGGCTTAAACACCCAGCACACTCACGGAAAACCGCCTTTGAGGCAATCCCCGACAGCGGTCTGGGCAGTGGACCGTACGTGGCAGGGAAGGCTGCCAGATGCGGCGCATGCCACTGAAACGAGAAAGTTGTTTTGCATCTTAGCCCGTCATGTTATTTCCAATTAATGTGGCTTGTCTGTTCCCTCTGTGGTGCGCTGTGCACTGGAGGCAACTCAGTTTTACGTTCAGCTAAAGGGTCGGGGAACTAGTCAATGAAGCCTTCGTCTCCCAAGACAGCGAACGCCAGATGCTTAGGTCGATGACATGAGACAGAGGAGTCACTGAATATCCCTGCTAATCTATTTTATGAAGTAGTGAGCATGAAGTCCTTGGGGAGCGGAGTGTCTGTGCGTGCCGTTTGGGTGGTCCAGTGGTACAGGCTGCTCGGCCTTTTGTTTTGTTCCTATGCGTTTCTCGGTGTATTGGTGCAACACGGAGTCTCGTGTACTTCGCCAGTGGGAGGGAGAGAATGTGATGGACATGACTGCAACACAACCACAGGGTCATCACGGCCCGTTCCCACAGAAGGAGTTCAAGTTGTTGACGACTCCCCCAGACAGGCAAATGCAGCACAGGAGGTCGCAGGTGCAAATTCCCCAGAGCATCCAATTTTCATGGTTCCTGGAATCGCAGGAAGTGGCCTTATGGTCAGCACGAAGAATGCGTCACTGCCTCTATGTGCTGCTTCACCTGTTAGCTCTACAGTACCATTTAGACTGTGGGCCTCTCTCTCCCTCGTTAGACCTCCTCGTTCACACCAGCTCTGCTGGATGGACATGATGCAGCCCATCTCTGACGAGAAAGGGGAACACTACTCCAGTAAGGATGGGGTAGTAGTTGAAGTAAGCGGGGCCATACTTCGTTTCATGGGGTCGTGCTTCTGCGTGTACAAAATGCGAAAATGAAATGATTAGAACAGTGCAACTGAGGTCGTTCAGTATTGAACTTCCTGCGCAGTCAATAGAATTTTTTTCAGTCAGTAGAATTCTTGTCCCGTCGTTAGGAGCTGCAGTCCTTTGGTTTTGCGGTCCTTTCATGTCCAGGTTGACAGTTACGGAACTGCCCACGGCTTTGATTACTTGGACTATTACTACAACGAGAGATTTGGAGTACCAGGGACAGCGTATTTTCACACCATGCTGCGGACGTTCTACTCCATGGGTTATGTGGAAGGGAGCTCCCTCATAGGCATACCGTATGACTGGCGCCTCCCACCTTGGCAGGCGAGCATTTCCCCACGCTTCGCGAAGGAGACTTTAATAGCACGCGTTGTGTTGGCGCATATTCGGCAGAGCAATGACTACAGTGAAGCTACGTTGTTTGAGAATCAGCCTGGCGACCTCAATCCCGGGCTTGCTAGTTAAAGGGCTGCCCGCAGTTTGGCTCTTGTGGGGAGGACCGGGCAGATAAGCTTCATTGCTTCGTTTTACTTTGGTTATGTGTGTACATTGCAGATGGATTTTGACCGACTCAAGTCTCAGATCGAGCATCATGTCGAAGCAATGGGGGGCGCCAAGGCAGATCTGCTGGTTCATAGTCTGGGGTCCATCGTTTGTAATTATTTTCTGAACAAAGTGGTGGACAAACGATGGAAGGACAAGTACATCAACTCCTACACGCTTGTCGCCCCAGCAACTGGGGGGAGCTTCAAGGCCATTAAGGCCATTTTAACTGGGTGAGAATCCAGGAGTTTCAGACGCAAAGCCTGTTCCTTTGAATGGCGGCTTATTCGGATGATCCTGAGGCATGCATGCATTTAGTTGTTTGCTCTCAGTTGAATGATTGGTGATGCTTGTAAATAGTTCAGCAGTGCACTTCCTGCTCAGTTATTGGTGACTTTGGGCCAAAGAGGCGAAGTGAACCAATGGTTAGAAAAGCATCAGTGAATGCATAGTTAAGCCCACTTATTTGCACACTCTACGGTGAACGCGGCTTATGCAGCATGTGCAATCCCCACATTTGTTTTCTGTTTCTGTGTTGACTGCCTTTTAGCTACAACGATCCGGTGGACTTGACGTTTTGGACTTTACTTGATATCAGCCTGATTCCAGTGGATGTCTTACGTGATCTCGCCCGAAGCCTTGGCTCCATCTATGCATTACTTCCGGACATCGATGTAAGGGGAATACTTGGACTAGTTGTTTCTAGAAACCGGAGATGATCAGAGGCTATGCTGTGTATGCGCTTTTCCGGGATATGTTCTCTCTCATCTTTTCTCAACTTCCTTCCTCCTTTTCCATCAGCGGATGGAGCCTTTGTGGAATTGGTCGGGACCTGACACAGCTCAAATAACTTTCGCGTGTGCTTTTGTGACTCAGCTTTATGGAAAGGATCATTTGGTATTGCGACAGTTGCTCCCTAAATCAGGCACTGTGTCACCTGCTTTTTCCGCCCTAGCTGAAGGCCAAGATGGAGGGGTTCCTTCAGCTATGGTGAATAGTGGCCGATCTCTTGAGTTTAGGAGGCTTGCTGAGTCAGATGCAGGGGTCGGCATACAGGAGCTGACAGACAAGAGCGAAGAAAATGGAGATGCGGAACACAGAATGAATCCACAGGAGCAGCAGGTTGGGGAGCAATTGGTCCAAGATGCGATCGACGCACAGGTAAAGCAACGGACGCTGCAACTGCATCAGTACGTCGAAAATGCCAGGGAAAGGATGGCGGCAGTGAAGCGCCTTGAAGCTACAGAGGATTTGAACGAGGTTGTATATACTCTAGGCAACTGGACGACTTTACTGGAACCCGAGCTGCGAGCTCGCGCAGAGACAGCACGAGAGCGCATGAAAGGGGTGCTGGAAGACCCTGGAGTAAGCATTAGGTTTACTCATGCTAGCTCCTGTTTCCGTTGCTTGCTGCCATTCTTCATGGGGGTAGTGCTAGAGTTCTCGTGATGTTCGAGAGCTGGAAACTAATGTTCTGCTTTTTCCTGTAGCTAGGCCAAAGACGAGGCACGGTCTCTTATGCTTCCGTTTGACGGATATGTCTGTAATTGCCTGATTTTGTTCGGACACTTTAATCAAGCTTTATTGTGCTCTTCTTAACTGTCTTGGTGCGTAAGGGGAGGGAGGCCGTGAATTCTGTTGTGTGTGTTGCGGACGATTTGTTGTTCTAAGGTCCCCACAAGATGCATTTGGAGTGTTTTTGGCTTCCCTTCTACTGACGTCGGCTACATCTACACTGGCACGGATCTTTCTCGGAAGCCGATACCGTAAACCACCTGTAGCATTGACGACAGAGGCAGCAGAAACAGCCACACAACTATTTTTTTGTGCCTACCCCCAATCACACCAACAAGCAGCAGGCGGGCACCATGCTGACCTGAAATGATGTGCACGCACTTAGTGCTGCAGTGGCCGTATCGGCTTTCCCGATTCCGTATTACGTATGATTCTGAGCGCACTGTTGCCGTTGCCGAAATTGGAGCGTCGTGTGTTTCTTCTGTGCGTCTTATTCAGTGTGCTCGACGTGGGGGACGATACAGTCCCACTACGTTCTCTTTCAGTTTGCACAGGATGGTCCTCTACTTTTGAGGTAAAGACGTTCAAGAATTTGGACCATATGTTCATATTTGGGGATGGCGAGTTTAACAGCTATATTCAAGTTGCTTTTGGCAAACCGAAGGAGAAAAGTGAAGTGCAGGAAGCATCGGAACGAAGCACGTGACTGGGCAGTAAAACATCCAGTCAGGCTGGTACGAGCACGTGCCGTTTTGCGTTGAAGCACTTCTCCGTTGGAGGCTTCTTTACACCAAATCAGTGCCTCACGCCTCGGCCAAATCGTTTTCTGACAGCGGCCCCGCACTCTTGCTGCGACATTGAAGGGCCCGTCTACATTGCAGTGTTTGCACGTTGTATTTTGGTGGGTGGGTGGGTGTGCATGTGTATTAACTGCCGCGTGTTGAAGTTGTGCGTATACCAGGCATTAATGCGAAATACGCCTGGCAGAAACGAGCACGAGGTAGCTTGCGCACAGCTGTTTGTGCCTTCTAAACTCATCCTTCTCGATGTCAACCCGAATGGACGCATCGGCGGGAACTGATACGCCTTTCACTGAATGCATGGGAGCGGCACTAAGGGCAGCATCGCGGAACTTGCGGCATAGGAGCAAGGAGACCGCAGCGCAAGTGCACCAAGAAATTCACCCTGCACAGCGTAGGCTACGTAGGGAACACGCCAGGGGAAACGTGACGGTGCTATGCGCCCGCTTTAGTTAGGCTTTGATTCACGCTTGGAAAGAGAAGCCAGCTCATCTTTAATGAGTGTACTGTTGCAGTGAGCCTCGACCAGAAGCAGTATGGAATGTCATAAATGTGCGGTCTGGGGAGGCATCCTGTTTTCCCACTTCCACACTAGCAAGCTCCAAGTCTTTGCAGCTCAAAAGCGCGTATTCAGACGCGCTGTTGAGCTGTAGAACGTAGTGCAGGGCTTCGCTTTTTCTCAGTATGTTTCCCATTCGTTCAAATCTCACACTCCCGGCAGGGGGAGGCGCTCCGAAAACGCAGGAAATGCCCATCTCGTAAGATCGCGATGAGACGGCTACATCCGGGCCAGCAAGGGCCTTAAAGAAGGGCTTCATGCTTCGTCTTGAGTTTCCTTGAGGTCTTCGTGAGGTTCACGGGAAGCCCACGATAGGGCTACATCAAACTGCTTACCAAAAAGGCGGCGAGAAGTACAAACAAGAGTAACCACATTAGTCTTGCTGAGAAATCAGCGAGTGATGAGGCATCTGGGATCGTTGCCTCAGCCTTTTGAACCTCCGTATTGCGTGGCCTTTGGCCTGCAGCATCGTTTGATTTCGAGCAGGACTTGCTATTCTCCCCTCCTTGGGCCTTATGTGGGACCTTTTGGCCTTCTCTTGCCGCCTTCTTCGCTTTCCTCAGCAGAAAAGGAGCGGCACTGGCGCTGGCAAATCGGGCGAGTAGGCCTGAGGATTGAGTACGCCTAAGCGCTGCGCCTTCAGCAAAAGGCTTTGAATTCGCAGATGCGCGATGCTTTGAGTCAAAGCCTAGGTGAGACTGCGTGCACGGTGTAGTCCTTTTGTTGGATATTGCGGGAACATTTGTTCCAGCTTTCTTGCGGCTTACCGCAGTCCCAAGTGCATTAACAACCCTTCGCATCTGGCGCCAAGGGGTTGACGCAGACTTGGAACCGGCAGTGGAGGTATTCAAGTTAGTCGAGGCACCTGTTTTGACGGAAGCTGACGGCTTGTCTGTCCCAAATCGAGTTTGTCGAACTGCAGTCACCTCTGCACTCAAAGATGCCCGCACCCCTCGGCGCAAGAATTGCAGCGGGTGGGTCGCGGTAGCTTGCCTGCAGCAAGAGTACGCGTGTACTGCAGTATGCCTTCAGCAGAGCAAAGACAGCGAGCACAGGCCTCCAGGCTACACTAAGGATAGGAGAGCCATTCGGCTTTTAACTTAAGAGAACTGAGTGAGCTCACGGGGATTCAGGAGCACTTCGGTCGGCGCTTTCTAAGCTGCAGCAACATCCACAGACAAAAACTGCCGACGAACGACAAGTGATTTCAATAACGTGCACTTTCTTTTTTTTTCAAAGAAGTAACTAATCTGGAGAGGTGGAAAGGCATTTATTACCGCTTAATAACGGCGTCTTTACGCTCTATTTCCTCCCGTAGTTGCCTTCTCTGCTCATTTTTCTCAGACTTCAGTCGGGCATTTTCACTGCAAAGAACCAAGTACGAGCTCAAGAGATCCGCAAGCCCTAATGGGTATTTGTATGCATGCAAGCAGTCACTGAATCTCTCATGTGCCTCTATGCTACCCAGAACCATGGGCCCTTCTCGGTTCCGAACGGCGGAAGCGTTTAACTGCTGTGATCACTTATCTCTCGAGAAACAGCTAGCTAGGCGTAAAGAAAATGGCCACGAGCTGCATCTTCATGCCTCACGGTCACCGCGTATCTTTTTGTACGTTGGCTTGGCACCGAGCTTAAGTGAAAAGAACTCCCGCCAGTCCTTACCTCCGCAGCTCGCAAATAGTGGAATGTTGCATCCTTAGAGCAGAAGAAAGGTCCTCCTGCAGTAATGCACGAGCACTTTCAGAATCCAAACCCGCTTTTGAGGACATTTTCCCTATGGTGCACATGCACGCGTGCGTGCATACAGGTATAGGCCAGTGCAATTTTATGTACCCCTTCCTAGCGGCACGCTGGCAGTAAAGCCAGAACTATGCATTCTAACCTGGATCAATGCAACGCATACGCTACTGAAACTCCCATTTTGTTCGAAGTTTGCTTACACCGCTCCTCGCCTGAAGGAACTCGACGGCCCTCTCCTCGCTCATTGACGTGGCCCTCGCTAAGCTGCGAAAAACGCACATTGCAAGAGAGACCAGCCAAATACTTGCCCCATGGAACGGACGCCTTCTACAGCGACGGGTGTGGTCTACTCAAAAAAGACTCAGCAAATACTTCCGATGGTTGTCGTCCATACTACTTTTTCTTGGTGTCGTGAAGAAGAAGCTCCTGTTTCAACTGCTGTAATTCGGTGCTCAAGCGTTCTCTAAGTACATGAGCTCTAACAAGGCGAGCGCGGAACTCAGACGCCTTCGCTTCAGCCTCAGTTGCCTTCTCCCTGTGAGAGCACAGCTCGCGCTCAAGACTCATTACGCGGCCCTGCATCACCGCACCCTCGAATGCAGTAAAAACCCAGGACGGCTCAAGCATGCACTTTGAACTCGTCTTTACGAGGCCAGGCGTCGAGCTTAACCGGGAACCAAGCTGCTTTCGCACAGTAGCAGCTGGTGAAACACCTACTCAGCAGAAGCTGTTGCTGCTGATAAAAATACAGCCATTTGCCGTGGGGGCTTTCGCCTAAGAGTAGAGTAGCAAATGACAGCTGCGGAAGATTGCTTCCACAGGGGCCTAACCAAATGCAGCTACGCTATTGAATCTTTAGTGTCATGAGCGCATGAGAGAAAAAGCCTATCAGCGCGTGCCGAATCATATTCACCTGTAGTTCATGGACCTCTCTGCATCGCTCAGCATCTGCTCTGATCAGCGTATTCATCCTTTCCCTGGCCATTGACAGTCGAGTCTGAAGCACATAGACGCAATTAAAACTGTTCATTGACGTCCCTATGCCAGCATCTCACACACATTTTCCCGGTGTGCACAGCGTGCATGTATGCAAAAGATAAATGGTCAGCCTCTTCGCTAAAACTAAAGGCAAGCAGCAATGACTTGACTATCATGATGCCTGGGCACTAGTAGATGCGAACAAACCTGCAGTTCAACGCTAGATTGCTGCTCCATCTCGCCGTTGTCTGAAGAAGAACAGCGGCAGAAACACAACCCTTGGAGGTTCTGTTGTGCTGATAGTTAGCCGGGACTCGAGAAAAAGCACTCTGTTCCCTATCGCAGTCTGGCGGCATCCTCTTGGGCTTTGCTGAGACACCAGAAAATTAACGAGGTTGAAGCTGACTTGGGGACGGCTGCATTAATTCAAATTGGAGGCCAATAACCTCAGTAGCCCTGCAAGTGCTTCTGCACATTGGACAGCGTCTGGCTGGGGCCCCGCCATACGAAGAAAGCCACCGTTTTAGACTGCACACGCAGCAGCAAAATTTGAAGACCGGGGTCACTGACGGGAGGCTCGGTTTTCAGTTGCTTTTAGTTTTAAAGTGTCCGCCTGTTCAAATGCCCCGTGCTCCGTATGGAGTAATCTAGAACGGATAACCTTGTAGAGCTGCCGATCGGTTTGTTGCATCCTTACCATGCTTCATGATATATGTGACCACACCTCGACGTCGCCACTAAATTTGCTTCCAATGGTTCGCAGCATATTGGGCAATCTGGTGGCACCCTGACCATTGTGGCGAAGAAGGCGAGTGTGGTTCGCACAGAAACGTGTCTTTGCAGCCTCCGTAGGCCACAAAACACAAGAGCCTTCAATACTGGTCTATTTCTGTTCCGGGGGGCTCACGTTCCGCCCACAGATGGCCCAGTTCGGACATGAGGCCCACCCTATTGTGCAACTTGCTGGAAAGATCCCTCAGTGCAGCCCAATAAAACCTCTTTTTCACGTTAATTCATCATAAATTGCCTTTACTTCACCGGAAACCTGTACTGGCCACCACCCGATGTGCATCTCTGCTTCCTTGTGGGGTCTGCCACCAAAACACACCGGCAGCCTGTACTACCATCAGTTGTAAAGCACGAATTACTCCACATAAGCAGGCCAATACACATCCCACTGGCAAAATGACGGTTATGAGGGATGAAGAAACTTTCGTCGTAGAGAAAGTGGAGTAGCAGAATGAACGCTGCGCGGCAATGCTCCTCAACGATGCTTGAAGGATAAGTTTTATAGAGGCGCAGTTTCACAGCTAAGCAGCATGCTGATTTCCTGAGGCAGGGTACCATAAATTCATTTTCATAAGTCTCGTGCCAATGTGTATGCAAACACTTTTGAGAGTGTCCAAGTTGTGGACTGGGATTTAGTGATTGCGCTAACACACTGCAGAATATTCACGCATAACCCAGCGAGGCCTAAGTCTTAGCTAATGCCTCCAGTTTATGGCATTATGACTTTGTGCGATCGGTGCATAAAGAAGCGGCGAAGGTTGCATAAGCGAAACTATTATGCTCCGGTGGGGACTCCTGCTGCCAACCACTCGACATGAGAGGCTTTTTGGAGGAAAAGCGCGGGCGACCGATAGCCAAAAATAACACTTATTTTTAAAAAGGATAGGTCACTTATAGAGGCTCGCAAGGGTAGCAGTCAAAGATGGTTGGCTTTGTCAACGTATCCCTGCAACGCCTACAATCTGAGCGGCCTGATTCATGAACAGTGTCGATTCGTTTTGATAACGCGACCGGAAACTCTCTCGCCCCAGCAGAAGGAAAGAAGCAGCTCGCTAATTGTTTGCCACTCACTATCCTAATATTTTACACTGAAAGTCATGCTGAAACTCAAACAAATCTAGTCGCTATCACAGCCAATTTCTGCCAAGGCTGGCATGGGCTTCCAGCAGAGCCAAGAACACTTCCGAGACTCATCCCCTAACATAATCCCACATCAACATTTTTATCACTAAATCAAATTACCTTTTCATGACTGAGGCATCGCGGTGGCGGTAATGCTTGATACAGTGCAAAAGGACTTGTGGCGAGTGCGAGCAATGATTGCTCAGCCACTTGGAGCTCTCGCACCCAGCCATGACAGTGGCCACTTCAAACCATGCGCATTGAACAGGATCTCCCCGAGATATACTTTGCATGGCTTTGCAGTCCCACGAAGGCGCGCGGCTCATAGCCTCAATTCGTCAGTATCTTCGGTGAAACACAGAGCGTTTTCAGCCCAAATGTTGTCACGACTTCGCTCGCTACACTTTTAAGGGCGATATACCTTTACATTACGTAGGTGCGGCATCTAGTTACAGAAGAAGTCAAGCTACTAGCTAAAGAAAGCACACCAGAGAAGTTTCCTTCGCCGTGTGGGAACGTAGTGTTCTACTCGTTATCGCACAACCAATGGACTGAAATGTCCCCAGAACTAGAGGGAAGTGAACACATGACATGCGTCAATAAGGCATGCGATATTAAACAATTACAGGAATTTAGGACTACGCATTATCCTGTTAAGGCACTGTACGGCAGGGCGGTTCCGAGTAGCATGCTCTTACTTTTTCACCTTCAGCGTGCGCTATTCTAGATCAGGGAACTACAAAGCTGAATTTGGTTGGGTACGCGCGTTGGAACTAGCGGAACATCCACACAAGTGATCGCCACATGCAGCGTGGACTGGACTGTACTGTATCACTGGGGATCCATGAATTGCAATTGTCTTCAAAGAGAGATCAGAACGAAGTTACGTTTGAAGATTTACACGAACTGCCGCAACAAAATATGTAACCTAATGCCTAGAACTGCGTGCTACTCCAGTCCGACTAGGGCTCGAGAAGTACTACTGCCCCAGAGGGAAATACTGGGAAGCATGTGGAGCGCCAACAACGAATATGGAGCTTGAATCCTGAAATTTACAGATAAAATTTGCTACGCGAACGAGCTGCACTGCAGTCTGAAGCTTCAGAACTGAAGCGGCTAGCTGGCCAGTCCCGCGTGACGAAATTCCTATAGATAGCGTTTACAAAAGTTGGACACTTGGTCAACAAAGGTCCGTATAAAATCCGTATTTCATGCTTAGGACCTCCCCACAAAAGCGTAGCCAAAGCGTGTAATCGAGGCTCAGATTCACTTCGTGCCTGGCCGCTTACGTGAAGCTTGGCGACTCAGCAGAGAAACAAAAGTCTTTTTCAACTGCTACCCAGAGCCCGCACCTTTTAAAGAAACAAGTACCACTGTGTTTAGGTGACGCATCCCCGAAATAACAAAGTAGCAACTAACGTTCAAAGTCTTGCAGGCTGCCTGAGCTGCCGTCCTACTCCGATGTGAAGCCCCCAGGCACTCTCATACTTAGAGGTGACGCAGTGGGCTTGATGAAGTTAAGTTACATACCAGAAGAATACGACATCTCAGAAGAATTTCATTAGACACTCACACCGAGGGTAAATGGGCAGCTGATCCCAGGCTAGTGTAGCCTGGCACCGTGTAGTTGCGAGAAGGAGGCACTATCATCCGCCTCACACAAATCTGGAATGTTAAGAAGAGAAACACTTGCCATAATGTACAAGGAGACAAGTATTCTCAGTCAAGAGCCAGGGACGCGGGCCCGAGTGCATGGACAACTGCTGCACAGCAAGTCGGCGAGTTGCAGCACTACTGTGAGAGCAACTGCTAGTCTGTGCTGGAGGTTTAATACGTCATAAATATAAAAATTTCATAGCAAAGAACTGCCATGAATAATTAGTGCACATCCTTCATTGCCGTGGCGTCACAGCATGCGCCGCAGCTGTCTCGGGCGCCCCACTGCGTCACTCGGTGTGCCTTCGTCTTGTTTGTAGATGCGGCTTTTATTGCTTTCTTTTCAAGTTTCCACACGCTCTTACTTTTCGCCGTATTCATGCGGCTTCCAGAGGACTTAGTCTCCCTCTACCTCGAGCTTCCGTTAGTCGCCTCAGCGTAACAGCAGCTGTTACTTCTGGCTAGCTGGACGACGGTAACTCAC